CAGGTGTACTCTAAAATTAAGCCGGGATTTCTCCCCAAGAAAGCAAAATTTGTGCTTATTCAGCATCACAAAAATCTAGTTATATTCATAGACATTCCTCAGGTGCTTCAATACAATTGTAGTTGAATAGTGTTAAGCCTTTGGGACAGTTTTCTTCTAGTTGGAATAATTATTTCATTGTGTCTCTGAACATATGCTATTGTTCTTCTCTATGACATGCTCCTACCTCACAATTCATAGTGTTGCTTACATGGTCAAAAATTAAGACTTGCAAGCAAAGTAATACTCCGTGGAATTTCAGTGCATGCAATTAAAAAAAAATGTCATGAGGAAAAGTGCAAGCCTATCGCCGGAGGCTTCTCTGCGTGTTGTGCCTCTAACTGCTGGCTCATTTTTTTCAGTGCCTCATAGTCTGGAAATCAAACATTCCAGCTAAGGCAATTATTGGTTTTGATAACAGTATAGCATGTCCTGTAATTTACTGTGGAGTGGGATTGCTTGACAGCAATATAATTGCTAGGATGGGGCATACATCCACAGAGATTCAAGATATCCGTATATTTGCAGCTATAGTTTTCAACAGGGACCAGGATTTAAAGTGTTGGTGGGGGAAGCTACTGCTTACTTTGGATAGTCTTGCAGTTTTGGTTTGACTGAAAAAGTTTACCGACAGTTACTCCAGCGATTATGAGATAGCTACAGAGATCATCAGATCCTCCCAGCACTTTTCTTTTACTTCCTTTTTTAAAAAAGAGCTGAGCAGCTCTGTCTTTTGCATATTTTGTCAGTGCCGGATTAAGACATGGCACTTTTTCACAGCAGTGCTTGAAAATGAGGCAGACATGCTGCTTACTCAGTGCTTTGTGCACTTAAAATGGTTATAGGAACAGTCTTTGGGAGCAAGGGTATCCATCTTTGACACTGCTTCCATAACTTAATTTTCCAAAGAAAATTTTAATTAAATGGAGAGAGGAATTCAAATATTGGTCTGAGTCAAAATGAAACTTCAGATCCGTTGCTGTTAAATTTCTGTAAGGTGATTGTGCTGCATTGGTTGTCCTTGGATTCTGCTGTGACTAGAGGTCCCCAATTCTTCAAATGAACTTTGATCCTTTGTAAAATGAAGGTGCTCAATCTGAAGTTAAGAACTATATGCAGTTCCCAGAGTCTTGGATGCAACACATAGAGCTTCTCGAAAAACCAAATTATGTTTTAAAAGGCAGTCGCTGTATTTAAGTCTGAGTCGCCATGTATCAGTAGGTAGCAATATAAATTTCCTAAATAAATAAAAATAAATAAAATAAATAATGTATCTCATTATTTAAATTTCAATCTTTGTTTTAGTCCTGCCTAGACACCAAAATAGTTGGCCATCCCTACTTGGGGTTTCAAGAAATCAGTCGGCCATGTTGTTTCATTTTTAGCACTCGCACACGATTGGGTACTAGAATTGCCTAATTCAGAACTAGACAGATAGTTTATGAAAGTAGAACCTTGATAGGTACAGTCAAAATATTGGAATAGTATGTGAGTGAAGGAGAGTTTTTTTGGAGTCTTTAGTTTGTAAAGAATAAATAAAACATATTGAAGTTATTAAATCATTAAAAGGTGATACACTAGGTAATTAATTTTCACTGACATACTGAGGGTAGAGATTCAGGTTGTAAGTAGCTTTTGGGGATCCATCATAAGCATAAACTGTATAAATATTCTAACTCCCTCAACAGCTTTCCTTATTGCAGCTAGATTTAAAAGACTGAATTTAAAGGCACTAAAAATGGGTGATGCATTGACATTAGCCAAATAAAATTAGCAAAAATAGTTGTCTTTGTTCTTTATACAACCTGTCCTGTTGAAAGGCAGCCCAGTCCTTTCACAGGTAAATATTGGTAATGATCTTGTTGCTTCGCTAGTCTTAAGAGTTTCTTCTAGAACTCCTGCAAAAGGGAAGGGGAAAAAGAACAGATAACGTTTCTCAGTTGCGGTTTACTCCCTCAGGGCACTCTAAATATGGTATTGATTCTCCTGGCCACAGTTTGGATTGTTTCCTCCCACACAGAGGCTTTTCTTTTTACAGGGCTTGAAAACTTTTTGGATAATAAATGCTGACACTTTGTGGCCCCTGCATGCTTCCAGCGAAAGGAAAAATAAAAATTTGGACATTTTCCTTGATGCAATAGAGGGCTCAGTTGATAAATGTGGATGTTTCCGTTGCTGACGGAAGACTTAACTGCACTTTAGATGCAGTTTGAGACCTGTTCATTTCTGTTTCTGGAAAAAATGAAAGCAGAGTGAGCTGCCCACCCAAGGAGAAAAAAGCACTTACAGTTCCTGCATTCTTTCCTGTTGTAGGTGGTAGGGGAAAGGACTAAAACATTTCCATATATTTTAAAATTTAAAAACAGGCAGATCTATCTATAGGTGCTCCTGCAATGTGGCAGAGATACTGATATAGTCTGGAATATTCCTGAATGAAGCTTGTATTCCTTTCATGCTGCTGTTGGAAGAAATGCCCATCTGGGTTCAGTTCCAAGTGGGGAAAAAGACACTGGAAACATGGAAGCTGCTTGGAAAGATGGTTTAATGGTGGACAGGATCACTTGATTTGAGATCTTGGGCAAAAGAAAACACATGGGTGGGAAAGAGAGATTTATACCCTCTCTTGGATCCCACCTTGGACCTTCCTGTTCCTTTGTAAGAAATGTATTCTGATTAGTTGTCAGACCCCCATGGGGCCATGCAGAAGGTAACTTTATAGTCTTGAGCCCCAAGCTTGGTTGAATCTTGCTGGGTGATATAATCTCCCCAGATGCTATGTGGTGAGTTCTGTTGCTAGATGGGTAGAGGGCTATTCCTACTTTTATTGGATCTTGTGTGAGGGCATTTGCTTATGAATAGACTTAGCTATCTCTTATCTCTTAAGTGCTGACATCTGCTGTGGGCTATTGAGGAGGGTGGGGGCTATTAAGAGTGAGTCTGCTTCCTGCCTAAAAAAACATGTTTCTCCATTTCTCTTCCAGGGAAATATGATATTCTGCCTTTTCAATATTTCCTAGAATATTTCATTCTTCTAGGAGGGGTGGGTGCTAACTTCTTACACTGCCTAATTAACAGAATTTTGCAAAGACTCTAAATGGGTAGGATCCACTGCTCATGAGCCATGCATTTTTACTGCCTTATTGATATTTTATGACTGCACAAATGGAGGAAAAATAGAAACAATAGAAGAAGCAGAGCATCAGTATTTATTTTTAGCAGGTCTAGATGGAATTGAAGTGGAGGGTGCCCTCATTTATCATTTTTTAATAATATATGATTATATTGCATAGGTATGTTGTGTCTACAAAACAAAACCTTTCTCTTCTGCCACAAGTTTATTTGCACTGTGAAAAATCAGAGACGGGGAAGAAACAAATGTGGAATTTTTCTGAGCTGGTATGAAATGGACTAGAAAAAAGTTGAAACCAAATTAATTTGGAAATGAATCCACATTACATTGTCCTGAAACAATAATAACTCCAACACTGAAATAATAACAATTCTTAAATATAGAGAACTGTAATGGATACTTCAAAATATCTAGAAGGATGGAGGGTTTTTTTATGAATGAGTAGCATTTTTAGTTTTTAGAAGCAGAGCCATAACTAGGAAATCCTGAGTGGTAGTTTGGAATTGGGATTGAGGGAATCTGATGTATGGTAAGCAGAAAGTGTAAAATTATGCTATCTTGATGTGGATGTCTTAAGAGAAGAAGGACACAGCTGTTTACCTTTTTTGGGGGGGGAGTGTTTTTAGATGACAAAATACACTATTCTGGATTTATCTGCATTAACTGAAATCAAATTATTATAGAGTATGTAGGGAAAAGTAAATGTAGCTAGAATGAATTCTAACTCTTACACCTAAAACTGTAAAATTATAATTGTCTAATGCATCTCTGATAACCTGATCAATCAGTTCTATCTGCGTGTGGGGAGGGTGTTTTCTTTTTCTTCCTAATTTGTTCTTAAAGGTATATGCTGGTTCCACATATGTGTATTAGTAATATGTGATCCAAAAGCAGTGTAAAGGAAAATCAGCATTTCTGAATGTTGCTCATCCTGGTTTCTAAGCCTGCCCTTATAGCTCTGTGTGGCCATTCTCAGTTGGCTAAGAGATGCCACCCTCTGCTGATCGGTTCCTCACCCTGATCAGGATGTGTTGTTCTGTATGCAGGGATTTCAGAGACATTTCTCATAATTTCTCTAGTCCTGGTCATGAGTTCTCTCTTTCTTTTGAATGCATTCTATGCAGATGAAGATCAGATATATTGCAAACACATTTTAGAGCTTTTTAACAGGATTTTATTTAAAACATGAATATTCAAAGATAACACTTTTCAAATACCAGATTTTAAAAAAAGCTAAAGTAGATACTTCCCCTTTTTTAAAAAAAATAGGTTTCCCTAGTTATGTGAGAGAATTTCTACAAGTGGCTAATCTCTGATGGAAATCATCCCTAAAGATGATGGTGAGATGGATCAGTGTTGGTTGAAATTAACAAAAGAGTAGCATGCTTCTGAATAAAGAAGGAAGGCTTCGGGGTTAGTCTTAGGCTGTGTTCAAAATGGTGTCCTGTTCTCTTCCCACAAAAATGGGGTTTCCTGGTTATGTGAGAGAAATCCTGGAACTGGATAATCCTGATGGGAATCAACTCTCAGAAGTTGGTGAGATAAATCAGTATTTGTTGGAATTAGTGTAGAATAGTTGTTAGTGTAGCATACTTTTGAGTAAGGAATGAAGTTTTAGGTGTTTGGGCTTTAGCCAACTGTAATTGTCAAGTTCTGTTTTAAAATGAAGACATGTTTTTAGGATAGCTGAAATCCTGATTTGGTTAACTCCCTATCCCTTGCCCCCAAATATCCATATTAGAGCACATACATTCTAAGTATCAGTTGGTGCATTGTGTGAGGAAGCATTTATCTACTGCTGATATTAAGACTTTTTCCTTTGTGTTCTCAGGGGTGGACATTGATCCTATGACGCATGCCCGTAAGAAACAGCTCTTGCTTCTGAAATACTCAGCTGCTGGCCAAGCTTTGTCACCGATTGACGGTGAGAGAATGGATAGGACTGAGGTGGAGGGCAGCAAGCAAGGAAATGGTACTGAAGGGCAGAAAGTCCAGACTAGACTTGCCAGTACGACTAAAAGCAGGAATTTGCAAGAACTCCGAAAGACATATCCCTTAAGGAAACGGCTCAGCTCCTCTGTGGACAAAAAAACCTGCTCCGTGCTACTTACTAGACTAGAGGATGTAGCTGGATCACTGTCAGAGGAGACTCCAATGGTGGTGAAAAGAGGTCTTGCCAGTTGTATAGATGACTTCAGACCTTCCTGCCTTCCAGAGCAAGTTCAAGTAGCAGGAGCAGGGAAACAGGACTCTTCTATAGGCAAATGCCAGCTATCATGCCTTGGGACTGAGGAGGAAGGGCATAATGTCTGCCTCTCGGAGCCCAGAAAACGGAGACTAGCCTCCTTGAATGCTGAGGCAGTGAACAACCTGCTCTTTGAACGGAATGACAACTTGTTATCTGGCAGGCGTTTTCGAAAAGATTCCCCGCAGATTAGTGGGATTTGTTGCACTAATAGCATATGTTGCAAAGCTCAGGGCTCATGGCCCTTGACAGAAAAACGAGGCACTAAAACAGCGAAGGGAAAGAACCAAACTAAATCAAGTCAGAAGTGTGCTCCTTATAACCAGTCCCCGGGTGGTGACTTTGAAGGGAAAAGACGGGAGGAGAAAGGAATTCCCTACCATCCTGCCCCAAAGAGATTGGCCAGTCTGAATGCTGCAGCTTTTCTGAAACTGACTCATGAGAAAGACCAACCATTAAAGCCCAGAAGTAAATCAACTGGAGAAAGCAAGATGGAAGGACACAGTTCCAAATCAAAACTCAAGTGGGCCAAAGCCAATGGAAAAAATTGTGTTAAATCCAAAAAGGAAATATCCTCTGTCAAAATAGAGGGTCAACGCAGCTGGCAAGGTGTCTCTGAGGGTGCATTTAGACAAGCAGCTCATCAGGACTCTCCTAGAATCTATGGCAAAACGGAATCTATCAGTTACACACCATCACCTAACTCTTCTGAAGGCACAGAGGGTTTCTTCCACAGACTGCCTTTGCTAATGGGTGGGCAAGCTTCCATGAAGCCTGAATATGGAAGACCTGGAGAGAAATCTCCTACCCCCAAGCAGGAATTTCATCAGCCTTCCTTCCCAGTACCTCAGTTCCATCCTTTGCCTGTTCCAGGCAATCATCCAGATTGTGGCTGTCTCTTTGAATCGTCTGACTTGAATGCATTTTATGTTTATTATGGCCAAAGTGGATATAATAGTTACACTCATTGCTCGATGTACCCGAAGGATGAGTTGTCGCAAGCAACAAGTTGTGAGGCACTTTTGGTATCTCCTGGTTCCTTGCCGTCTGACCCCTCCTTTCAGCCATTTCATTGGTGTAGCTCTCCATATTGTTGTGGAGAGGGACCAGCAATTAACAGCTTCAGCCTTTGTGGAGTTATGCATGTACCAGAAAGCAGAATTGGTAGTGGGCATACAGGGCGGAATGGCTACCCTTATAAGATGCCTTTTGCAGCAGGTAAGTCTGCAACCATTTCCTTTCGTTAACAGTGCTAATATTTACGGGCAATTGAGTTGTTGAATAAAGTTGTATCCTTGTTGCCAGTAGATGATATGCTTGCATTGCTTGGATGATTGGATGCTGGGATACTGTGCTGGCCTTCAGCATCTAGAAAGTCCATGTAGGTTAGGTCATTTTTTATTCACAGGCAAAGTTATAGGTTGGAATCAGAAGAGCTCCCCCATGAAATCTCATGCTAAAAGGAGATACCCGTTGTGTCTTCTTGAGCCGTGGTGGTTCAATGGTTAGAATGCAGTACTGCAGGCTAATTCTGGTGACTTCCAATTGCCAGCGGTTCAGCAGTTTGAATCTCACCAGCTCAGTGTTGATTCAGCCTTCATCCTTCCAAGGTTGGTAAAATGAGGAGCCAAATTGTTGGGGGCAATAGGCTGACTCTGAACTGCTTAGAGAGGGTTGTAAAGCACTGGGAAGTGGTATATAAGTCTAATTACTATTGCTTGTAGCAGTTGCTCCTTTCAGAGCTCTTGGGCTCAATCCTCTTCTGGGTTACATCAAATTTGCACATGGGACATTTCTTACAAACATGTCTCCAATTGTTGCTTATATTTATCCCATCAACTAAAAGGCTGGCAAAACTTTCCGGCTGCTAATATAGAGATTCCGCCTCATGTTTGGATAATTCAGTTGTAATTTGAGTAGTCTAAAATATAAAACAGTTCACTTAATGGAACTGGTCTACTCAAACAAATCAGTTGATTTAAATCCAGAGGAGCAATCTTTTTGACTATTCACTTCTTCCAGTTTTTTTTAATTTGTGGGAGAGTCTAATTATTTAAATGTACTTAAGCCTCTCTGAGGGCTTATCACA